TCGATCGAGCGCGTAGAAAAATCCTAGAGTTCGGGTCAGAAGAAGCGCTCGACGGCCCAGGTGGGTACAAATAGGGCCGAAGCTTACCTGTGAGATCGGCCTCATGGCCAGCCTTTACGTTCTCCGCCGCAGCTTTGATGAGCCGTTTCAAGTCCTTGTAATGGATATAGTTCGCGCTCCATTCCGGAACAACATTGCGGGGCAAGTTGCGTCCAAATTTCATTTTCGAGAGAATTTGAGTCGGAGTTGGTTGCAGTCGTTTGAGATGAGGACAGAAGGTGGGATATAAGCTCTTCTAGAACTCGTCTAGGATTTTTGTTCGACCAAGGAACTGAGCACAGCTGACGAAATGATGATCAAATGGAGAACAAGTGGATCTGGGGCAGACAAAAGGAAAATGACAAGTCAGACTTCGAGCACAACGCCATGTGTTAGTCTATCGCGGAGTCATGGCCAGAAAGATCGATGGGGTAGTGGGAAGAACCTGGATAGTAGGATCGTGAGAGAAAGAGATGAATGCTTTTTGAAGATTGAAGAAAAGCAGGAGAGAGCCACGGGTCATATACAGTTCGGAATCCTTGGGACCAAGCGACAAAGGAAAGGGACCGAGCTATCAGCACGTGCGAGAGTCGGCCAAGACATATGATCGAAGGGAACCGACAAAAATATCAGTTGCTAACCCGAGTGGGGATGAAAGGAATCCACCCCGACGTAAGAAGAGGAGGAATTCCGGGGCGGAATGACCATTGAACGCGGGCGGCTGGATCTGCTGCACGCCGGACGCTCCCTGATTTGCCCGCAATCTCCTCCGCAGAAAACTGGTTCGGCCCAGTGTCTGTGAGTGTGTGAGTGTGTGAGTCTGTGAGTGTGTGAGTGAGGAATCCGATTCTTAGCAGATTGGTTCCGCTATTGGATCTGTGTGAAAAACAGGTCAAATGGCGGTAACCTTGTGTTGATCCGGGCAATTCACTGACTGAATTGTGACTTGGGAGTGAGTGTTCGAATGTTTGATAAAGGGGGGCCATTCTCCGGTTCTTAATCTAAGTCTCGCACCAGCTGCTAGTCTGCCAATAGCGCTGACTTGCTCCCCCACCACTTCACAAATTAAGCCTTCTAGACTGTTAGACTGTCATCGAACCGTCCATAGTGCTTAGCCCGTTGATAGGCGATGAGTCCGGTGACCCGCTACTTTCTAGGTCGCGGAGGCTGGCGGATTCGAGAAGCAGAAGTTCTTTCTGGCGGCATATTCCCTCGCAGCGATGATCACCGTTCCCCTCATTGTCCCCTCACTTCTGATTTGTGGCCAGATGCGTTGGGGGGGTAGGGAGGAGGGGTGAGTCGTGGCTGGACATTGTCCACTCGAAGTTCGAAAGGTTCGATTAACCATTTTAGCGTTGAGCCTGTGATTGCATGGTTCCAATAAAGAAGGGCTGCAAACTTCCTGAGGTTATACTGAGTAACTTCACACATACTAAGTAAGAAGGATTGTTGCATTTCGGGAGTTATTGTTGCTGCCCGGAGGAGACGGAAAACTCCCGTCAAGTCAGATGACCTCCTTCTAAGCTGCAGGATTACTGTACTCGACTCTAACGTGACCTGCTCCTGTACACACTAGTGAATAGCCATGCTGCAAAGTAGACATTCCTCACTTCAATCTTAATTACGCTTCTTGGTATTTGCTGCACCTTTGTGCTTCCTTGGAAGTTCGACAATGGCCTTGCTACCAAATTGCACTACACTATCTTAGAAAGGAACTGATACATCCTGGTCGCCTGACCTCAAGCTCAGTAATGTATACTCTATTCGATCACGCGGCTTCCTTCTACAGCCCGGACTTAATTGAGAAAGAACATGGAGGCTTTATATGATCGTCTCGAATCCTCCTCGCGCTTGTATAAGATTAGAATAGACACATCCAGTTGCCGCTCTCCTCGAGGTAGTTAGAAAGAAGAGACTAGGCGTTCTAGCTACTCTATAACGCCTCATTGCGCCATGAACCTCATCGTCTAGCTGTGTACTAGAGACAAGAGCGAACTTTGGGATAGTCTCTGAAATAGTTCCAACACAATAAGGCTGCAGTGGATTGCATCTCATATTTCACGGTTGAGTTTGAGTGCTTGTGGGCTAGTGGACTGTTTTCAGTTTGCGATAGGGAGTCTGCAGTCGGCCTGAGGTATAGATTGATATTCTATGCTCACTGTCTCAGTCTTTGCAATATGATACAAAAGTGTTCTGGTTGACTGTAACGAACACTACTGCTGGGCACCTTGAACTGGTCTTTGGTACAGTGGGAGGAATGAACAGTGCACTCCTCAGTTTTGCTACGGAAACGTCACAGCGATGCCCGCCTGTCCGATAGCTCTGCGAGAAAAATGCCTATAGCCAAGCACATTCATTGGCTTATCTGCTGGCAGAATTCGGCTAAAAGAACGAACTTCCGAACGATAGAGGGCGCATTGTCTTGACGGGGCACTGTATGGCTATGGATGTTCAATATTGATCACTCCATCAGTAGTTGAATACCACCCAGTGTGCGCTTTCGTTTCACGTCTTACCTAGACGATGCTTGCTACCTCCCTTCACACACTCCAAGGCTGATAGTCGCCCTACATATCTTCCATCCAATGGTGCCGTGGTGGCAACCAAGAACTGGCTCTGGTTACCGCGGTAAGAGATGATCATTAGCAATACGAGGCATCTCCACTGTGTCGAGGGAACAAGTCCACGAATCAACCAAGTAGCCTCGGCCATCAGCCTTCTTCCGTTCGACGAAGCCTTGATAACGACATCTCGCCCTTTGCAGGTAGCTTGGGTTATGCGATTCAGGTGCATGATCACTGTCGTCACGGCAGTAGGTTCCTCCAATCAGTGACTCTGGCCCCTCAGCCAAGTCTCATTCGAGAATAATTGCTTCGAAAGAGAGGGGTAAACAGAGTAACGGTTGAGCCTCTATGAGTTGAACGAGTCCATTGCGGTAATTACCCGACGGCTATGGGGTGAAGCCTGTGAAGAGCGTGATTATGCGATTGAAAAAGGGTGCGGGCTGCCACCGTCTATGCATGCCCAGCAGACACAGATGTAACCTTCCGATGACTAGCTTAAATGAAGGTCTGGATCGTATGCACGATTAAAGGCTCGTATTCATCAAGGATCTCAGCAGCGGGTATGATCAGTTTCTCTGCGCAAGGAGTAGACGACTTCCTCCTAAGGAATGGCGCAACTGTATCGTGGATATAGTCACCTTGGACAAGATACCTCAGCCGGTAATCACCGCGGAATTGAATATATCATAGGTGGAGACAGTCCAGGCCCCAGGAGATATCACACGATGTCATCCGGCCAGAGACTTGCAGCAATTGTAGCCCGGGTCGCGAGGCGGGAGCTTCTGGCGACCGAATTTTAGGCCCATTCATGATGGCTGGACCAAGCTCTGAATATAGTGGGCCCCGAGATGTGATTCGAGGCAGCGAGAAGACACAATGTGTCTGGCGTTGCAAAGTATTAGCCTCGTCGTCCACAAGTTGTGTTCTTCATCCCTCTGTCCGAGACGAAGTAGAAGCATGAAGCCTTGCGATGTGCGGATGACGAAGCATTGCAGGATGCTACCTAATTTCCGATACGAGTTGAGCCATGCGAATATGCAAATGCATCTTCTGTGACGGTCAATTGAACCCTCGGTCATGTTCCGTAGTATAGGTCAACTCTTAAGAACATCGATGGGTGGAGCAAATTATCATGTCGTTTGCAAAGCGCCCCTTTGCTGTCTTATGTGCATACACGAGATAATGGGCCCAAGAGAGTGTGAGTAGCGGTACTGATTCCGCCCTATGTTTGCATAGCTTCAATCTAAGCGGAGTCGTGATTATGATGCCTGACAAATGATTTCTAGTTGTGGAGCTGTGGATCGTGGTACACATCGTAGCATTTCGTTGCTGTACTTGCCGCATCGATGAGGCTCCATGGCGCGCCAGAGTCGCTTTATGGCTGTGGCAAATCAAGTTGAAGATTCAGCCTGATTTTCCCGAATCAATTGATGAGGTAGTGTTTGTGATGACATCTTGGACTTATCTGTCAGAAGAGGGCTGAGAAGCCTTGCACGAGTCAGTATTTGTGAGCATCGCCCGTTGCTGATGTAACTCACTTTCCGTGCTTACATTTGCCAAGTTTATTTCTATGCAGGGAAGGAATGAGCTTAGGCAGTAATAAGTCGTTGATTCTTCAGCAATGTCCGTATGGCGGAATCAGTAGGCCTGTCTCCCCGTGCCTTTGGATCAGGGGAATCAGGATTCTGTGTAGGTTACAAAGGTTAATCAGCCTTCTGGGATAATTCTATGCGACAAGTCCTTGTTTCAATGGCTCTTTGAGGGCCCCGCTAGCATGCGGGGAAGAGAGCCTCCTTCCAAGTTGACCGCCTTCATAGCCTCATCAAGCATCATCTACTCAACTCAATAACGAGGCTGCGAGCATCACGTACTGCTTCCCAGTATCTTTACCCAGTACACCAACATCAGCCACCTCGACGTCCGGTGCAGTAGCGTATGGAAATGGCTCCAAATGAGGAAGACGGTAGATTCTGCCGAATGACATTTTGTATACATTGATAACATTGGAATAGGTTGGCTGCATGTTTAATGCAACCGTTTCCATTTAGCCTCGTCCACAGTGACGGCCCATCGGGAAATGACGCCGTCCTGGATACGAGATTCATGGCGAAGTTCTGCTGATGATCCCACTTTCGATGGGAGTCAGCACTACCACATTCATCCGGGGCCTGCGCAGGTCAGGATGGTGTGAACCCATCGCGCAACTGGTGTGGTCTATAGCTCTCACCTGCTAGGCCGGCTCACCCTCCCTTACTATATAAAGAGGCTTGTTTCCTCTCATACGAGGCATCAGTCTACAGAGCCCAGCAAGCATTGGACATCCATCTCTTTCTCAACTTCGCCTTTCATTCTTTGCTGCCATACTTCTTCTTTTCTGTCTACACCACACGCAACAAAATGAAGCAATTCATGAGCTTGAGCTTGGCTGCTTGGCTGCTGACTGGTGTTCTTGCCATCCCAGTACCTGATGTTGGTTCAGTCTCCACGATTGATGGCAACACCAGCGACTGGAAGCGTGGAGACAACGCTGTTGATGGCAACACCAGTGACTGGAAGCGGGATAACACTGTCGATGGCAACACCAGCGACTGGAAGCGCAGCGAGAACGCCATTGACGCTGCCCTCTGAGAACTCTTTGACTAGGACCAGCGGATGGCAAGGAGAAGTAGGTATTTAGTCAGACAGTCTCGATGACCTTTACTTACACCTCCATAATCCAGGTGAGCCCTCAGCAACCAAAACATCACTCTCGCCCAAAGACATGTCCACGCATTGAAAACACCATACGCAATGACATAGTTCAAGACAAGCACCACAGACGAAGTAGGCCAATGTGATAACATCCTCTCCATCAGCGAGGAGCCAAAAATCAGAGACCGAGTTCTAGTCTAGCCTAGCCAGCACCGTCAAAATGCACAAGATAAAATGCCCCAATTGACTTCAACAAAAATAAACAGAGGGAGATCCACCTAGACATCCATCCAACAAACATAGCTAAATCACTGCAATTGTACTGTACCTCATAGTATCCCATAAATTTGCACCCTCAACCCTCACCACAAACCCTCCCTCCTCCTTACCAACAATCCCCCAAGCAAACAAACCCCAAAAATTCAACCACCCAGAAACCAAAAAAAGTAGCCCGTAATCCCACCAAACCAAGAAAATCAATCAAAAGACAACGCAAAAATGCAGATTCACACAAACTGCGTCATAAGTATCCCCAAACCAGCCCAGCCGGGCTGCCTGCCGGCCGGCAGGGTGATGACCGGTCAGTAAAGTGTGGTGTGTTTATGGTTTGCATGCGCGATTTTTCGACCACCACCACCACGAGCAAAAGAAATTCCCCTCAAAACCTCGCCCGCTCGCCCCCTTTCTTAATTCTGTTTCCCCTTCGTTTTTTTTTAACTCTTCCTCTGTTTTCATGGTCGCAAAAAAGGGTATATATGTCCCTCAATTAACAACAAACAACAGAAGATGCACTCCACTGTTGACTGACGGGTAACTCGCAAACAAATCCCTGGATAATTCACTCATACTCTACAGATATATCACTCAGCAGGTGCAGTAAATAGGTGAAGTCGGAGAAAAAAGCTCAACTTGAAGTCAAGCACGACCTCACTCAATCCTCACGGAGAGCGACAAACATACCCTCAGCAATGGACTGCCTTAATCTTCATTGAAAAAGGGCTTGACTACTAGGATTACCAGCTTCCAACAGTTGGCTATACACATTCCGCTTCGCGGGTGGTTTCCCCATTCTCCTCTCCCTCCTTCTCTCCACTTTTCCCCCCACTCAAATCTCGTCCACCCCCGCATTTACTTGGGTTACTCCGCTTCAACTATTCAACTCCCTTGCCAATCACCGGAAGGCCATGATTACACTGGATTTATCTACTTGGGCATTGGGTGAAAACATATCTCATCGAGAGAGTCATTCAATAGATAGCTATCAAGGTGGTCATCGTCTTGATTCGACACAAAAGAGCACATCATTCTGGTCTATGGCGGACTCAAAAAGGGACAAATGCACTCGGAATTCCTGACGCATTGAGAAAACCAGCCACCGTTCCCCACGCTCATAAGACCAGCAACATTCGTTAAGCTTAAGCAACACATCATAACACCAAATGTCAAACAGGCTGATGAACGCCGTAAAAAACCACAAACAACCGGACCGAACACCGAACCCTTGACGCGAGCTTTGATACCGCAAACTCACAACGCTTTATCGAGCAAAATAGGTATGAAACACCGAGAATAAATAGGGAAACATGAAAGCTCGTTAAGAAGACATGAAGCCTACGACACCAGAGGCTTGAGGGCTTCGACACCAACTTGGAGGACAGCGGGGTTTTTGGTCTTCTTTAGCAAATTTGTCAAGATGTCGATGCCCCCGTTCTGCTTGATGGCATCTTTGGCCCGACGAGCAACATCACCGGTGGCAAGACAGGTCATATTCCTGACACAGGCAACACCGCGATGTACAAGCCCGTCGTCTTCTTCCTGGCAAAGACCAAGCAGCAACTGAACACCACGAGGCCGTTCTAGAACTCCTGCGATCGCTGCATCAAACTCAGTCAGCATGGCGAGAGCTCCGCCCGCAGCACTTTGAGTGGCGAGGTCATCAGTGTCGGTCAGGGCCAATAGGATGTGCAGACGCTGGGCAGCACGTTTCGAGCCATCGGCAAACTTCACTACACCTGATTCGCAGGTCATCAAGTTACAGACAAGCTCACAAGCAGCGCGCTGTACCAGGGGACTATTGGCAAGAAGGAGTTCCTCGATAACAGGCCAGGCTTGGCGAACAATGGCTTCAGGAGCGGACTCATCAGGGTGCGAGGCCAAATTCGTCAGAGCCAACAAGCTCTCAAAGACAGGGAGCAAGTCCCGTGGTTGCTCGGTGGAAAGACTCGTTGTCTCCGGAACGGAAAGCAGTGCAGTCAAAGGCCGAATGGCAGACGTGATCTGAGGGAAACCAGAGCTTGGGAAAACAAGCGCAGGGTTGACGGAGATCAAGATTCGCGCCAGCGCATGCGAAGCATTGCTGACTATTTCAGTTGGCGATGAGCCCTGCTTCACGGTCGACATACCAATCAATAGCTTGACAGCTCCCTGTTGTGCTAGAGTACCGCGAGACTTGCGGTCACGCGAGAGAGAAAGGAGAATCTTGCTCATTAGGATTTGTACAGAAGGCAGGCTGGTCTTGACACAGTCGACCAGAAGGGGGACAATTCCTGCTTCGACGAGTGCGGTGCAACGAGCAATGACGTGTTGCTCTTCGTCTAAGGGGTCGGGGCCGTTTCGGGCCTTGGGCGATGCTTCAGCGTATGACTTGAGCTGTGAGACTTTCTTTTGCTCCTCCGTCAGGTTGGGGAGAAACTGGGTGAGGTTCATGATGATCATGAAGCCACCATAGAGGACTGACGGAACAGTAGAGTTTTCGTGTAACACTCTAAGGAGGTTCTGCACAAAGACTGGATCCTTGGCAAGCTGCTCCTTCACGGCGGGCTTGACAGAGGCATAGGCCAGACCCTCAATTACATTAGCCATGCTCTCACCCTTACGCTTCGACATCGAGTCTTTGAACCGGTCAACCAGCTCGATAACCCGGGTGTCGTCGTCCTGGAGTTTACCAGTGGTTTCGGAGGGCGCGACCTGCGCGGCAGTCCGAACCTTGGCCAGGATAACCGCTGCCAACTCGGAGCTTTGGTCACTTCCATTGGTAAGGAGATGAGAGAGCCAGGTAGACAGATGTTTGAAGATCGCCTCACGGCAATCTTTGTTGACGCAGGCTGCATTGAGAAGTTCCAAGAACGATGTTTCAACCTTGCGGCTCTTCGCATCTCTGGAGGTTAGAGGAGCCAATGCAGCCAGAAAATTCTCCGAGAGAAAAAGAGCTGCGGCAGCCTCCGGAATCACAGGGAAGACGGCAGCAGTTGCAGAGAAGGCCTCAATCAGCCCATCACTGCGGCCCTTGATCACCTTGGAAGAGACCAGGTTGGAGAATCGATTTTGGCCAACTTCTTTCGAGACCTCGAGGTACTTAACTGTTGCCAAAGTAGCCTGGCTTCTCCATTCAAGAGGTAGGCGAAGATCTAGGGACGACAAAATCACATCCAGACTCTCATCATCCACCAAATCCTGCAACCGAGCCGCATCAACGGCCAGCAGCCGCGCAATGCCTTTGAGCGAGCGACCGTCCTCATCGTGACCAGACTCCATCAGCTTGGCGATGAATAGCTGAAAGAGCTCACGCTCACAATGCAGACGAGCATCCTGCGACGGCCAAACGGAGGGATCTAGGACAACGGTATCGAGGCAAACAGCAGCTGCGTCGCCCCTTTCGTAAATCTCGTCGAAGAAGGTGGTGACCGAGATCTGAAGTTGGTTGGAGAAGTGCTGGCGCACGCTTGCGCTCTGGCGAACCAAACCGGAGATAATGTCGTCCTGCAGCGAGGACAAGGCATGTGGGCGTTGCGCCAAGATAAATTTGGCACATTCCAGTGCGACCTCCTCGGGCGGTTTGAGGCCGTCGGTGCGCAAGTAGAGGGCGGCATCTTTACCCGCGGGTTCGTCCTTCCCTGAAGTATACCGGCGACAGAGATCTAGGAGGTGATGACCATTTTCCTCCTCCTCTTGGATCTTCAGGAAAGCTTCCTTGACAGCTGGATGTTCGGGCGCTAAGATGAGGGCTTCTCGAAGGTTCCGCGAAGCGGCCTGCGATAGATGACATTAGCCACCTGAAGCGGTCGCAAACTGACGCGACAGCACGGAAGACTCTCAAATGGACGAAGCATGAAAGAGAAATTTGTAAGTCAGACATACCTCACGGTGACCAGCATCTATCAATTCAACAGCCTCTCGAGTCAAATGTACGGCACGTTCTTCGCTCGTTGAGTGAACCATGTCAGGCCTGGAAGGGTAGATAAGGCAGGAGCGGGAGGATTAGTTCGCAAGTGAAGAGAACCCGGTCGGTAGAAGGATGAAAGAATAAAACGGGACAAAGCCACGGTCGGGTGGAAGGAAAAGAAGGAGGAGGAGAAGGGAAGAGAATAAGAAGAAGAGAAGAGGAGAAAGAAGAGGAGAGAGCGAGTCAAGCCAGGGGAAGTACAGGAGTTGTGGTGAAAAGTGGAGGAGGAGTGGAGATTGTTTTGCAGTAGTAGCAAGAAGGTAGTGAGGGTTAACCAAAGAGCAGCTGTGTCAACCAGCAGTAGTGGTGATGATGGTAGAGCGACGCGACAGCCGGACAATCATCGGCGGAGGAGAAACCTTGGGAGATAAGGAAACTGACTGGGCTCTGTTGATGTGATGTCAATAAGAACAGGAGAACAAGAGAACAAGATGAAGAAGATGGTGTGGTGGTAAGTTAGAGTGGTAGTGGTCGTCGTTGTGGTAGTTGTAAAAAGAAAACCGAGCTGGGCTTATCTTTTTACTTTTTTTTGTTTGACTTTTTTTTTTGCCTCCAAGGCATGGAGGGAAAGGATGGGATGGAAAGAGTGGATTCCATTGAATGGAGACTGGAGAGGATAAGAAAAGGTGGTCCGTGTGACTGGCTTGCCTTTTCTGGCACTTACTCACTCTTTCCATCTCCTTCATCCAAGCTCAGTGTTCAGTGCTCTCAGCCTCTCTCTCTCTCTCTCTCTCTCTTTCCCTGCCCTGCCTCGGACCTCCGACGCTCGTTTCCTGCAACCATGAGACACACATCTTCATTTTCACTGCCCCCTCCCTCCCCACCCCACCCCCCAACTGCATTCTCATTCCAGTCCTCTTTCTTCGATGACCATTTTCCAGGCTTCTATGCATTGTTCATAGCTGCATTATGATTATCATGAACTACCCTTACTTGACCTTAGCATAACCAGGTATCTTTCCAGTACTTCCGCCAATCCGCCTATCCGTCCGACAGTCGGAGCTCCCCCTCGTTTCGGCAGCCGCTCTTCGGAAGGCGGCTTAACTCCGACCATACTTGGCTATCGATACGCTATCGTTATCATCAATCATCATTCTTAGAATACAAGAATACAACAATGCCGACTGCCAATTGCGAGATTCCGGCCCCTAAAGCCTCTCTTCCCCGCCCGTCAGACTGTCACAGAAACTGGACAATCGACTCAGCTTGCAGCAGGAGATTCTCACTGACTGGCTACTCTCCCGGAGCAATTTGGTTGCCGCGGGGAATCTATTCCGTTACCCCCTCCTCTGTCGTGGACGATAAGATGAGCCGGGAGAGGGGAGATGGGACAGATCATGACAACGTCTAGGAATAAGCAAACCAACTCGTCGGCCTGGAACCGATTGCCAACTCCAGTCAAACTTACAGCTGTGGTCCAGACCCCCTTCATCCCAGCATGAAACCAGGTAGAGAACCACCGTAGCCAACTGGACTATTCATCTCGGTTCTGCAGTGCAGCAAAGATGACGACGATAAGGCAATGCAGCAGCAGCTATTGCCAAAGGGGGAGGACCAAGGAGTGCCAACCTTGAGTATGTGATGCATATCTAACGAATAACTGCACCATCGATTCGATATCTATCTAATCGGAACCTCGCGCTCCGTCAAAGACATGAAACCAACCACGGCAGTCCACGGCAACACGTTTCTCACTCTGACTCTCGTTGTGGTAAACGTAAATCCCATGGATGACTCCTGGAGCTAACTCGTCATAATCGAGGACGTGCTTTTAGGCTGTTCCCAGCTTTCAATCCCCTTCTCTACCTCCTCTCTTCGCCAATAGTCCTTCATACCGCCACACTAGTTCCTGTCTTGGCTACAGACTACAGTTCCTCCGATCTGCAGCTTCACAGTTTGTTCCACGGAGGTGCGCCCAGTGTGACGACCCGCCCACCGAATTCGGTGTTTGCTTTGCTAGGCTGCGTTGCTTATGCTGACCTTACGCCTACGGGTGGGTACAGTCCAAGTACTGCGTACCTTGTCGCTATCAAACTGCTCCGTACTCAGTGAATGATTGTCACAGCATAACATAGCCCCCCTTAAGCCCCATCCCGGGGAAAGGGGGGAGGGGGTCCATCACGAACGACGGCGAGGCCACCATCGCCGAGGACCCTCCCTTTCCGGCCGCGGGCGCGGGCGCTTGGACGCCGAGAGACCAACCCAGCCAAACAAACCACCGTGAATCCGCCCAAGGATACCTAGTAATCTGTCGGGCCAAGAGCCCTGAGCCATTTCCCTCCCCCCTTCCAAACTTCTAAATTCGGGCCGTTTCGATCCAAATCACAGGAAGCAAGCCACGTCCACCCTTCCAAGTTCCCCCCATCGATTATCCATTGCCAATCGCTCTCGCAGGCGGCGAGGCGGTCGCTTCTGTGTGGTCCGTGCCAATAACATTTAACTTCTCATTGGCAATCATTGCCTATACCTATGCTCCCAACCCAGCGAGCCGTCGGGAGGAAAATCCCCATTGACAATTGTCCGTCCGTCTGGATCCCGTCCAGTCGGTCGTCATCGTTTATAGAGCGGACATTAATCCGCGGTCATATCTTTTTTTCTGTACATTCTTGGCTGGTCAAATTGTAAGCGGAGCACAACTCCGAGGATGGGATGGGATGGATGGTCGGATAATCTCAAAGCAACCGTGTGTAGATATGTGGTTCAGCCAGCGAAGAGTGAGAGGCAACCGACTCCGCTCGACTCGATTGAACTTAATAATAGTTCTTTGTTCTAGTAGGTGGCATGTGTACTAGGTAAAATGTACTCCGTACTGTACTGTACTATGGCCTCCCGCTTCTCTCCCTCTCCCTCTCGCCCTCCCCACTCCAAAAATCTGACTACGTATATTCATTTCATCACACATCACACATCACACGCAGGCCGCCTCACACAATAACCAACACCAACCCGTGATACTTCATCCACAGCCGTTTTGCACCAACCCTCCCCTCCCCTTTCCACTATCACTACGTCATGATAGTCCATGATCCCCTTCCCTTGAGAATCAATCACTACCATACAAAAGCATCCCGCACCAAAAGATCACATGAGACATCCTTCCTTGATACTGGAGTGCAGATCGCTGGTGCCAACTCGCACGCGCCGGACACCACGTGATCTGACCGCCCCCGCCGCCGCCCTGGAACGCTCCCGATCGGGGCCGCCGTGCACGGAGGAGCCCGTCGCCGTCGCCGTCCGAGCACCGCTCATGACCGGAGCCGCCACCAGCTCGACGGCCGTGGAAGGCTCCGGGTTGCCTCCTGCTGCGGCGCCTTCCAGCGCGAACACCTCCACCATCCACTCGTACCAGACCTTGCGGTTGTCCGTTTGGCGGTACATGGTGACGACCACTTCGCCATTATCGGGGACGTTGAGGGGGGTCTGTCATTTGTTCCGACATGTTAACTGTAGTTCTTCTCCGCATTTGCACCTGATATTTACAGAGGAAGACTTGTAGATGGCAGGGTTACGCAGGAAATCCGAGGTAAAACTGACCTTGAGAGGGAAGTATATGGGGAACCAGCTGATCATATCCTGGCTCTTGGCGTCCATGGTCACGGGATTCGTCGACAGTTCGATGTCGCGGTAGAGCACGGTCTCGAAGTAGCCCGCCAGGCCGTGGCAGACGCCGCGGTTCTGGACGGGGAACGTCAGGCGGGTGCGGCGCACGTTGTGGGCGTTGGAGATCGTCGACGAGGACGGGGACTGCGGCGGGATGTTGAGGTTCGGGTGTTCGAAGGACCAGGTGGTCTGCACGAAGGGGATGGGCGTCTCGCTGGATCCGCCGCCGCCGGGCAGCGTGGAGATCGAGTTGCGGACGCTGTGGTGGCTCCCGGCGCCGGAGTTCATCAGCGCGGCGGCCGAGGGCTGGTTCGTGGACAGGAAGTCGATGGCGTGCAGCATCACCACGTACGGCGTCTCGGGGGCGGCGGGGTTGGAGATGGACTGGTTCATCACGTCGGCGTGCAGCTTGGGCGCCGCGATCGGGGTGAGATGGGCGGTGTAAGAGGCCGGGATGGAGATGCCGTGGATGGGGGTGAGGAGGTGGGTGACGCCGTCGAGGCATTCGGGCGAAAGCTCGTTGTCGCCGAAGGAGCCTAGCAGCTCGGAGACGAGGATATCAATCGTGGTAGGGACGGTGCCGGAGATGGGTGATTGTGTAGAGTTCTGGTTTTGAGTATTAGCGTTATAAAGGGGGTTCAATGTCATTTGCCTATGAAGAGAAAGTGTCTGGCTGTTCTTACCGATGCTGGTGCGGTTCCCTTCGCGATCTGGGGGCCCTTCCAGCTTCGCATGTCGGAGTGGACCAACGTGACTTTACCGCCCCAGTGATTCTTGTTGTGACGCTGGAGAAGAACAAATGCGTTGGGATTCTTCTCCACCGCCCAAAGGTCAATTTCCACGCCTGTTTCGGCGCTGGCTCGAAGCGCACGGCCGACGAGCGGTCCTCGACCGGCTCCCACAACAGCGACCGATACTTTGCCATCGGGCCCGGATTTCGGCTTCTTCGACCAGTCCGTCAGGGCTTTCGCGATGGCTCTTTCGTACCAATCGTACTTGATGGGATCTTTCTCGAAGACCTCGTAGGTGATACTCTCCAGATTGACGGTCAATGGCTGCAGCGGGGCTTGGAGATAATCTTGATAGCCTGTCCCAAACCGTTCCATAGCGCTGCGGGGAGGTTGGCGGGACTGGAGGTTTCTGACATAAGATAGATGAGGAGTGGGATCGTGGTGCTTCTTGTTCGAGACTGCAGCCTGCGCGAGGCTGGGATACTCCGGGCCTGGTGCATCAGGGTTCTCAAAGGACTCGTCCACCTCCACTCCTGGAATAGGGCCAACTTCACAAAGGAGGATCCAGGGGGCGGTTCGGAGGCGCATGAATCGAGCAATCAAAGCTTGGTGTGCCTTTGACAGCACGGGGTATCCTTTTTGGTTTTTGAGGAAGGTATTACCAT